GTCAAATATCCTTCTCAAATTTAACATTTTAAAGCAAAGTTTATCCTATGGATAGTCTACAGAGAAATGTTAACTCTTTGTGGAGGTTTCTGACAAACATTTGACAACTTTCATCAGATTAGTAGCTGTTAAATGAAGAAAGCCTACAAAAAAGTTATTTGTATTGACCCTTGTGGACTATTAAATATACTTTATTTGTAATAATAAAGCACTGTTAAATTACAGACGACCAAATGGAATGTGGAAATACTTTTTCCTTGCTACTGAGGAACTGAAAAAGTAACAGAGTTTATAGTATAAAGGTAACTCTGGTTAATTACATTTTTGGCCTATTTGTATCAAGGTCACACAACTAGAAGCACCATAGAACTGTGGCAACTTATAGAATGGTGTAGTGTGAAACACAAAGACCTGAGTTCAAACTCTATAGTGACCATAGCAATTTATTTAGGGTTCTTGGACTTAGTTTTCTGATCCACAAAATTAAAATAACAACACCCAACTTGTGGATTACTGTGAAGCTCAAATAAGGCACACCAGATAACTAAGAATGTAGTACTTCAAAAAATTTGCAGAAAATGGAATTAAAAGATAAGTTTATTTTTGTGCAAAAGAATTTGAAATCCATGCATTTTTTTCATAATTTTTAAAGATATTCACAAATTTTTGAAGTCCTCAAAATTTTTTGGCCCAAAATAAACATTTTTAGTTCCATTTTCCATTAACTTTCTGAAATATCATATAATGTCTGATATGCAGTAAACAATGGATAAATGTTATGTGCACTCTTATGATTCTCTGAATACAAATGTTACTTGTACACTCAATCCAGAAAGCAAAAACCTTCTCTTCACATCCTTCAATATAGCTTTAAGATACTCAGTAACTCTATTGAAATGAGTATCTGTAATTTAAAGCTAGTTTTCTTAAACTTCCAGTTAAGCAAGATAACTCTAAGTTCTTTTAATAATGGAACTTATGATTCCCACCTAATGCTATTAAGCATTTGGATAAAGATGAATCTTCAGTAACAAATGAGGTGATTTTACCAGTACCGTACTGAATATCCAGTTCTGCATTCTACAAATACTGTTGTAATCAGTGAGTCATTTTGAGGTCCTTTATGGCTTTCATTAATCAAATTTCCTGGCAAATAAACTTGGTTTCTTTGATCTCATGATACAGAAAACAGGACAAAATAAAATAGTTATGAGATAAAATTAGAAATTACCAGTTAAGCTTGCATGTCTAAACAGTCTATTTTTATTTTTACTACAGTAAATTTCTTCCTTCTATACCTTGTACCCCCATCATCAGTTTGGGTTGTTCTTTACTAATCCTTCTTAGCCCAATAAGACTCTTTCCTAAATTCCTCACGGAAGTTGGAAACAGTAGTCAATGGAAATATTACAGCAATTTACAAGACAAAGTATTACAATTTCAGATTTCTAAGCTTTGTCTTTCTACAACCAACGGTCATTAGTAAGCCAATTCTACAAGGTAATGAAGTATTTTAAATTCTCCAATATAATTTGCAAAAACAATCAAAACTTAGATTATATGATAACAAATTATATAATTAAATATCAATTTCATTACCATTCCGTTGTAGTATGTAACTTTCAGGATTAAACAAATATTTCTGAGACAAGGTATGGGAGAACAGAAATTTTTAACTATTAAACATGTTAAAACTGGCTACCTATTTAAAAACCTAAAATCTGTATGGCACAGAAGCATTGAAAACAAAAAAATTTTTAATCTAAATAAAGTCAAACAATTTAGAAGTTTTTAAAAAAATTGATCCTCCAAACAAAAGCTGGATAAACACTTTATTTAACAATTTAATAATGATTTAATAATTTATTTAAATTATTACATATTAGTTTTATGACCTAACAAAATAATAAAATGTTTGAATGGATGGATATACTTGGTGAAGCACATTTTATGACCATTTATCTTAAGTGCTGATATAAATAATACTCTCAAATATTTTATAGCACACTAAGGTTTAAATGCAATTTTATTAGAACTGGGAGTCAAACACACCAAGAAGAATGCACTGTATATGCAGGTCTACCTGGTAAGACAGAACTTGGTAGGAATTATTCTTTTTACATTTTAGTTTGGGTTCCATTTTTAAAATTCGTCACATTTAAAATTTCTTATCTCTTTGACTTGGTTTCTGGTTATTTCCAAAGTTGATCTTACAAAAGGATCCTAAAAGTTGTATTTTAATACACAGGAAAATATGTTTTCGGTTCCAAAGCCAAATAAGTGTCTTTTATGCTAAACTTTATAAAATACAAATGGGAATGCCAAATATTTTCTAATTCTATCCCATTTAATTCAAAAGAAAAATGCTCCTGTCATTTTAATGTCTTTTACTTGATCAAAACCATAACATGCTTTTCATGTTTCAAGACTAGGTATTTCCGATATGACTCAAACCATCTTCATTTTAAAAGCTCATGTAAATTAATAAAATAATAAACTCCATTCATTTAGCTATATGGTATGCTATAAGACCTACTCATAAAAGACTACTTGTAGTTAAAACATACATAGCAACATTTTCAATAATAAGAAAATTTTCCAAATTTATAACAGTGCACTAGTGTACCTTGTTGAGATCTATTTTTGTGGAGGAAATACCAAGTATCATAGCAGTGCCTTCAAACTGACATCTGACTACACAATAAAGCAAAATTACACAGGGACCTATCAAAAAGTAAACTTAGACAAGAAATTTAAATGCAGAGGCGAAACATCATCAAGAGTCAACCCTTCTGAGTTTCTGGATTCAGTTTTTTTTTTTTTAATTAATTGTCCAAACCACAAAAAGAAATGCAAGCACACATTTTTTCTCCACTCATCTCTAACCTCCAAGTAGCCGAAAGATGACGATATTTACAAACCAAAATAAGCTTAAGTCAAAAAACAACATGAAATTTTCATACAGATGTAAACAACCCTGGAACACTTCAAAGTAATGAAAAATAAACCCGACAAGGTAGCTTACGTCCCTGGTACACCCTGGAGATTTGAAAACAAAAATCGTACCTACATCATCAACTATTTAGCTAGAAACGGGAAAGAATAATATTGCTACTCGACATGAACGTAACTAATGAGGGAATCTAATTTGTTCTCTTCTGCAGCCATGGGGTGCCCAGTGTTTTCCCTTCGCAGACCGCTTTCGCATTTGTAAACAACTGCTGTAGCTGTTTCTCTGGTGTTCAAACGCGAGGGAAAATGAAAGTCTGAAAAGCATCAGCATCTGAGCTTCCGGATCTGGAGCAGGGGTAGCCAGGAAAGGGACCTACCTACCACTTGGTCAAACATCAAGAAAAAAAAAAAAAAAAGGTAGCCTTCAAATCAGAGGAAAGAAACTCAAGTCACCCAAAGAGGGCCGGTGAAGCAGAGCAAGCATTTGGTGAGCCTTGTTTTTTCAAAAACTTGTCTGGGGGCTGGAAGTTATGGGGGCGCTCTTTGTGCGGAGTCTGGAGGGAAGAGGAGGGACGAGAAAACAGCTTGGGAATCATTCAAAGGAGTTTAACGAGCAGTGCACCGGGTGGGGGGAGGCGGGGCGGGGCCCGGCCGGGCGGAGCAGGGCAGCAGGGGCGTCCGCGGGCCGCTCTGACACCCAGGGAGGGGGCGCTGAGCTGGCCGCTCTGGGGACCCGCAGCGAGTACACTCCGGCTGCAGCCGGGAGCTGGGGGTCCTCTCGGGTAGGCAGACTCCAGCGAAAGCGGCGACAGGCCGGGGCTCTGGCGGGGCAGGGGCTCCGGCTCCCGAGGGAAGCGGTTCCCGAGTGACATCCCCGAGTTTCCGCACTTAGCGGGCCAGGGGCGCGGCGGCCGCACGGCTTCCCTGGGTCCCCGAGCCGGCGCTGGACTCCCTCCCCGCCTCCGGCGCCGGCGCCTCCCGCGCGGGCCGCGGCCCTTACCTGCAGCTCCGTGAGCAGAATCTCCCCTCGTTCGGGGTTGGACGCCATTGCGCTCCGCTCTGGACTCCGCACCTGGACGCGGCCGCGGCTGGCGAAGGGAGAAGGCGGGACGGGACCCGGGGTGGGGGGTGAGGATCGGGGAAGAGAAAGGAAAAAAAAAAAAAAAACAACTAGGGATTCATGGAGGCGCAGCCCCTGCTAGAGGCGCGGCTTATTTCGCCCGGTTCATCGAAAGCGGCGGGGAGCGAGGGCACTCGTAGCGGCTCCCCCTCGCCACCCGCCCGCCGCCGCCGCCGCCCGCGCCGGACTCCGTTTGCTCAGTCGCTCCCTCTGGGCGACGCCAGGAGCCGCCTCAAACCTCTCGGTGCTGGGCGCAGCGGCCGCTCCTGCAGCTCCTCCTGTCGCACCATTTGGCTGTCACCGCGTCGCAAAAGCGGCCGCACTTGGCGGCTGCCAGGCACACGTGACGGCCGCAGCCACCGCCTCTCGCCGGGCGGGGTAGGGCGGAGGGGACCCCGAGGACGCGGGGGGGGGGGGCGGCTTCCGACCCGGCTTGCCGGCTGGGGCAGCCATGGGACCCAGCCGGGGTGAAAATGAGGGGAAAGGCCTGGGCTCGCGTCTCTGGGGAGGCGGGAAGAGGAAGAAAACACACGCCTACGTGCCTTCTGCGTTTAACGGCCCGACGGTGAACGCTAGAGCCCGGGAGCCCGCTCGCTGCGTTTTGTTTCCCCAGTTTCACCTTCTCTTCCCGTGCCGGAGTTCCGGCCTAACTTCAACAGGCCCCTCTCTAACCTCCACAACGCGAACAGCACCGGGACTGAACCTTTAGAGACTATCCCTTCTCCCGCTCGCCTTCTGCCACCCCAGGCGAAGGGTCGTACCTCTGGCTGGCCCCCAGCCTCAGCGCGCCCTCTGGGTGTGTAAGGTGCGCAGCTGGCCGAACCCTGTACTTTCCAAGAAAAGCGCATCGATCCCCGGCAACTTTAACGCACGGCTTTTAAGACGCCTTTCCTCGAGTGCTGAACTACTCTGGTTTGGCCGGAGAATTCCACGGAGCTCGGAATTTAATTAACTGCCTTGGATTGTTTTTAACTGAAGGGGTGTGGGGCAGGATCGGCCTTGGGAATGGAAAAAAAAAAAAGCGTTGCTTGGTGTGGTAAACAGGAGAGGTAACGCGTGTACTTGGTAACATGTACCTAAGTAGTACGGGTATCAGTTGCTCAGAAATGATACTGTGGCGTTACAGAGTGACAATAAGGTCTCCAACAAGTCACTTTTGTTTTATCTGAGCAGTGAATGGGTATCTGGGGCAAAGCCAATTTGATGAGCCTCAAGTACTGTGTTAAAACCTGCCTGGAGCCAGGATAAGGGGTTATTTAGGTAGCTAGCTACTGGGGAAAGGCGTTAGTTGACTTCCCAAAAAGTGTAAGATTATGGCCCCGTAAAGTCCCTGTAAGATCGGTTGGGCTGATGCTGGGGCTGAGATTTATCTTTTTGTCTCCTTAAATTTTATAGGCTAATTCAACATGCATTTACTGAAAAGGGAGAGTCCTGTGGCCACATTTTTCTCCAACTTATCCTCGGTAAAGAATTTTTCTAGCACTTCAAAAGTCTTATAAAACACATAAAAACTATTTATATGTTTAATGAATCCTCTCGGTTGGAAATGATGATTAAAGTACATGAGATAACAACACTTGACAAAAAAACAGATTGTAATTAACCTCTCTGGTAACTAAATGTCCCAGGCCCTGAAATTACAACTAGGATAAAGAAAGCCAGTATCCCTGGAGGACTGGGGATTCCTGTAGGGGAATCAGAGTTGTGTTAAAACAACCATAAAGCACTTCTAAGACATAGGTATAGGGACTGGCATTTAGTGCAGCAGTTAAGTCACTGCTTGAAACACCAGCATCCCGTATCCGAGTGCTTGGGTTCAAGTCCTACCTCTCCTCTGATCCAGCTTATTGTTAATGCACCCTGGAAGACAGGAGGTGATGGCGGAAGTGCCTGGGCCCCTGCTACCCTTGTGGGAGATCCAGTGGAGTTCCAGGCTCTTGGCTTTGGCCTGACCCAACCCTTGCTGTTGAGGGCATTTAGGGAATGAACCAGCAAATGGAGGGAACTTCTCTTTCTCTCCCTGTCTCCCTTTCCTCTCTCTCTCCCTCCGCACCTTCCTTGCACTCTGCCTTTCAAGTATATTTAAAACATTTCAAAACAAATTTGATTGGTAGGTAAAGAGTCTTAGGGGAGCCTTGCATGTGTGCACACATAGTTTTTTTGTGGTTAAAATATACATAAAATTTATCATTTTAAATATATAATTTAGGGGCATTGAATTGTATATTTAACAGATATATTTTTCTGTTTTTTTTTTTTTATTTTTTGGTCTTCCTTTACTCCAGAATGGGTTTGAAATGACTTATGTACACGTAATAAGTGGTTAATAATGGTGAAATTAAGAATTAGCTATGCAAGGGCTTAGAAAAATAGTCGATGAGCATTTGTTTCACAAGTAATTTATGTGTAAGAGCAAATGTTCACATTTCATCACTATAAAATTTTAGAAGAGATTTAAAATGTATGGGCTGGTGCCACAGCTCACTAGGCTAATCCTCCGCCTGTGGTGCTGGCACCCTGGGTTCTAGTCCCAGTTGGGGCGCTGGATTCTGTCCTGGTTGCTCCTCTTCCAGGCCAGCTCTCTGCTGTGGCCCAGGAAGGCATTGGAGGATGGCCCAAGTGCTTGGGCCCTGCACCTGCCTGGGAGACCAGGAGGAAGCATGTGGCTCCTGGCTTCAGATTGGTGCAGCACGGGCAGCAGCGTGTTGGCCATGGCAGCCATTTGGGGGGTGAACCAGTGGAAAAAGGAAGACCTTTCTCTCTATCTCTCTCTCTCACTGTCTAACTCTGCCTGTCCAAATAAATAAATAAAATGTATGGTCTATCTCATTATAGGCAGAGAAATATAAGCCAAAGTTTATTTAAATCAAGAATGGGGAGCATCCAGCCTGCAGGCCTTAGACAGCCTTCAAGATAATTTGTTTGGCCCTGACAAGGCAATCACAGGTAGGACTCACAATTCAGTAAATCTGCAGGCTAATTTTTAAGTTGATAATTTTGGATGACCCACAAATGATGTTATAAATATCCAAATGGGGGCCAGTGCTGTGGCATAACGGGTAAAGCCACCACCTGCAGTGTCGGCCTCCTGTAGGGGCACTGGTTCGAATCCTGGCTGCTCAACTTCCAATCCAGCTCTCTACTATGGTTTGGGAAAACAGTAGAAGATGTCCCAAGTCCTTAGGCCCCTGTATCCACATGGGAGACCCGAAAGAAGCTCCTGGCTCCTGGCTTCAGATCAGCCCAGCTCTGGCCATTGTGGCCATATGGGGAGTGAACCAGTGGATAGAAAACCAACCTCTCTCTCTGCCTCTGCCTCTCAGTAACTCTGCCTTTCAAATTAAATAAATAAACAAATAAATATCCAAATGACCCTTGGCAGAGGCAAAGATTCCCTACCCCTGTTGGTGCAGGACCTTATGAGGATCCTTCAGAAAGTTCATGGAAAAATGGAATTAAAAGATAATTTTATTTTGGTGCAAAAATTTTTTGAAATCATATGTATGAGGGGGTCTTCAGAAAGTTCATGGAAATTGTATATCATGAAAAATTATGCATGAAAAATTTTTTGCACTAAAAGATCTTTTAAGTCTATTTTTCATAAATGTTTTGAAGTATGTTCTTATTACTCAGTGGTAGAGTAAGTATCATAATTGCTACTAATTGTCAAAACCTACACTGTTGATATAGGACCATTAAAATCCTCTCTTAAACTGAACTCAAAACATTATACTCCCATAAATTTTTATCATAGAAAGACTCTAAATTTTACATATTTCTAGTGCTAAGATAAGAACTAATAATAACTTTAATTTTATGTAACACATGTAAATGAAAGTACCAAATATACAAAGTTTCGAATGTTACAAGAATTATTTCTGAAGGAGACCAGCACAGTATAAAAACTACTTGACAATCTGCGAAATGTGATAGTTTAAGTAGCAAATCGAGCTAAAAGCTACTACTGACGTCATAGTCTGTTCAGGAAGAAAAAAAATAGGACATGGATCATACTTATCAGACTAAAACACACTTGAAAAAAGTTTTCATGGAAACACATATCATGTTGAATCAGATGAGTTGTAATCAGGCCCTATTTACAAATGTGTGTAGGGAATCAGAAGTTTTGTTCACCTTAAGTTATAGTTTTATTAGTATTGAAAAAGAAGAAAGTTTTAAGTTTCCATTTAAGAAGTCAAAGATCCTAAAAAAAATCTAGATTGTATCATTAGTTGTATAAGTATGTTTTAAAATTCTTAATGGATAACTTAAAAGTCTTTAAAAAGAAATGACCAAACTTATAGAAATAGTTTCAATTATTAACAACTTAAAGCATTGTCTTATTTACCTTTTCAGGATGGAACAAATGTTACAGGACAAGTCATAGTAGAGATAGTATAGGTAGCTTAGATGTGTGGAGTTTTTTTTATTTTTGTTTTGGTTTTCTGTACTGTTGAAACAGACATTCTGATGGTCTAGGTCCTCCTTTCCCTTAGATCCTGAGTGAAATGACACCAGGTCTACATATCAAGTGAATGGGTCAGAAACCTTTACTTTGTAAGCTATACTTTTTATTGCCTTCCAGTTTGTCCCTACAGTACTATGGAGAACTAAGAGATGGTTTTTTTTTTTTTTATTTGTTTTGTTGTTGTTGTTAGTGTTAAAAGAAAGAGAGAACAATGGCACTCCTATACACACACACACACACACACACACACACATACTTCCAAGAGATCAGAGTGAAGGAGCAGTAGTAATCAAAGTAAGAGAATCCCAGAAGATAAGCGAAACTCAAGAAAACGCATAACTGTTTGATCACCATCCTTTTCTTCCTTAAGAAACTCCCTCATAGAGGTGGGTTTGGTGCAGTGGTTAGGTTGCAGTTTGAGATACCTACATCCCATATCTTAGAGCCAGGCTCGGGGCTTGGCTACTGTGCTACAGATCCAGGTTCCTGCTAATGTGTGACCTGGGAGGCAGCGGGTGGTGGTTCTTGTAGTTGATTCCCTGCCACACATATGGGGAGACCCAGATTGAATTCAAGGCTCCTAGCTTTGGCCTGCAGCACAGCCCTGGCTGTTGTAGGCATTTGGGGGAGTGAGTCAGTGATGAGAGATTCTCTCTCTGTCACACACACATACTTGCTCCTCTTTCCTGTATTTCTTCCTGTTTCAAATAAAATGAAAATATATAAAGAAACCCTTTATAGAAATTGTTCCCTTGTATTTTCCATGATGATAATTTGAGATCTAGTTTGTTAAAGTCAAGAGCACAAGAAAGTAGAGTCAGCCATAGTGACTATAGCAGATACTTTTTAGAATGTCAAATCAGCCCATATCCTCTTCCCTGAGAATTCCAGCCATCCCCAGAGTGTAAATTTCTGGAGTCATGTGATTGCTTAATCTAGACCCTCAATGTACACCACTTCATAGACCATAACCAAGTTTAGCCAATCAGGTTGTAACAATTTGGAAATAGAACACTGGAGTGCTGATCAATCGGTGGCACTGGAGAGGAGAGGTATGTGATTCTAGAATGGCCTAGAATAGCTATGTGCTCGGATGTGCACAAAGATGCAGAAGATGCTCTATGGAAAGAGCAAAGAATTCGTGCCTTCCCATCACTTAGAACTTAGTGACTACCGAAATATACCTGGTCTCTGTCTTCATGGAACTTGTAGTTTGGTGAAGCAGGTATAATGACAAAGAAGATGAGTTCAGGGTACTTTGAACTTCCGTCAGGCAATTCTTTCCTGTGTACTTCACACTTGAGCTGAGGGCTCACCAGTGGGTAGATGTTAACTGTTGGGGGCAGGGTATAAGAGTGCATAAGGAGAAGGGAATACAGGACTTTCCATGAAGAGGGAATAAAAGCTAAATATTACAGAATGACTGGTAGCAATTTTATGATTGATAGAAGGCCATTGAGGCTATAGCAAAAAGATGGGAGTAATAGGAAAAAGATTATAGACCATGTGTATTGGTCAGGATAGGCTAGGTTATGCTGAGTAAGAAAATGCTCCAAAAGATTCTCAATGGTCTACAATAAGGTTTCTCTCTCATGCTATATGCTCACTATGACTCTGCTCCATGTCTTCTCCAAGTCTAGGTTTGGGCTGACAGAGCAGTATTACCATTGTCATAGCAGAAGAGAGACATGCACTGGCTTGTGTTTCTTTTGGGTTTCATCAGCCAACCTTTTGCCAGGCCTAGAGCAACAGAGCTGTACAATCCTTCAACAGAGATGGGTCACACACAAATGCTCTGGAATATGGCTGACTAATAACGCAGAGACATACCATGTTTAAGGTTGTGGTGTTTATTTGAGCAGCAATGAAAAATCATTGAATAAATGCTACATTGTTAATAAGTCACTATGGCTTGTTATACACTTGGAAATGGGCAAGAGTAGACATAGGGAGAAATATTAGGAAGCTATTTCCATTTTCCAGGCAAAAAAAAGTGGTAGTTGTAGGGTCATGGCAATGAAATTGGAGAGGAGTCAATAGATGTACAAGGGGATCTGCTGTGCAAAGAGAAGCAGAGATGACAGAACATGTGTGTCAGGAAAAGAATACAGATTGGTGCCTCCTCACATGGGGCAGCAAATGTAAGGAAAAAGAAGGGGCGGGGCTCAGGACAGAGAGGAGACAGAGTATGAGCTCGCAGCCAGACCAAATTTATTCAAAGAAAATAAACTCGCAGAGGTTGACCAACTGCCAGCGTGTACACTGACCGAACACGTGGCAGAAGGCCCAGATCCGAGAAGCCTGGGCCTTTTTATATCTTAGGTGGGCTAGGGGTGGGGGTGGGGGGCAGTAGGCAGAGGTGAGCTTCTCTGTATAGGGTCTTCAAGTTCGGCCTGCAGGCTTCCAATATAGGATGTGAGACTGAACTGGTCTCTCTCTTTTTCTAAGATTTATTTATTTATTTCTTTGAAATTCAAGAGTTACAGAGAGAGGAGAGGCAGAGAGAGAAAGGTCTTCCATCCGATGGTTCACTCCCCAATTGGCCGCAACTGCTGGAGCTGCGCTGATCCAAAGCCTGGAGCCAGGAGCTTCCTCCAGGTCTCCCAGGAGGGTGCAAGAGCCCAAGGACTTGGGCCATCTTCTACTGCTTTCCCAGGCCACAGAGAGAGCTGGATCGGAAGTGGAGCAACCAAGTCTTGAACCAGTGCCCATATGGGATGCCAGCGCATCAGGCCAGGACGTTAACACTCTGTGCCACAGTGCAGGCCCCTGAACTTTTCTCTTGAAAGAAGGCAGGGGAAACAAGAACCTAAAATGGCTGAGGCTTATGTCCTTGTTCCATCAATCCTGACTCTGAGTATAGATAAGGAGAGGGGGCACTGATTTCTTTCTGGCTACTTCCTGCTGATACAGGACATAGACATGGGGCGAGGTTTTATACTCGTGATCAGATTAATTGAAGAAGAGCAGTTTTGTGTTGTTCCTGCTTGATGGCTTGGAGTATAGCAGTCATTCATTCCTGCAAGAACCTTTGGAATAAATTAATTGTACATGGTAGAAATAGGAGCACTATGATTATGAGGATAAAAGGAGAAATTAGAAACGTTGCCCATGGTGGGAAAGATGACTGAAATGAGGAGGACAAAGGAGGGAATAGGAAAGCAAGAGTCCTGTCGGTATGCCTGGTTGCCCAAGAGGAAGAATGTTCCTTTTTTGTTTAGGGAGTATGTGCTGGCAAGGAACCATGGGATGGAGTTAGTCTGGCCTGCTTCTAATCCTGGGCTCCCTCAATGTGGACTTAGGACAGTGGGAGAAATGTAGCAGACTTGGTTCCTGATGTCTAACTGTTTACTGGCTCCAATATTCTGAAAAGTCAACTACTCTGTTCTCTAAGTGTCCTTGAGGTCTCCTAATAAATCTCCCTTCTTGCATGAGATTGTGTCTGCAGTGTGTTCCCAAACACATACCCATAATACAC